GTGCTATTAAATTATGTCGAGGGTGTAAAGTGCTATAATACTACATTTTAAATGTGGAAAATGGAACTAACCCGTCAAGATTATAGTATTTGTTACAATGACAATGACAAAAAGTAACATGTCACCATTATCTAATCAAAATTGTATTATGATCAATTTACGAAAAAACTCCTCTTGTTTGGATAATTACATCTACCCTCTCAGCTATGATTTTTTTTTACACATTCAACCTTATAGTGTCAATATTCAACATAATCATCTAGATTCTTTGGAAGTGCTCTAGCTTGTACTTGTTTTGTGAAAAAATACAGTTTCTGATGCACCACAATATGATATATACAAGCCAAAAAATACATTATGATATCTTGCTTGAAAATGTAGAGCTCGAATGGGATAAAACGGGTACAAAAGTGATAATATTCTATATAATCAAGAAAATTCCACTAAGTTTGAAACCGCAAGGGTGGACGTGTAAGAAAATTTATAGTTGAGGGGCACTACAAAAAAAACTCGCTTTGGGTGAGGATAAAATTCGTCACCAAAAGGGCTTTTTTTTGTCACGAAAACGTTTGGTAACGACAATGTTCGTTACCGTTTGTTGTCCTCTAAAGCTCGACGCTAAGAGTTTTGGCGACAAGTTTCTGAATTTCGTTACTAATGTATTGGTAACAAACGTTGATTTTGTTACAAGATCTTAATTTATTGTAACAATTGTATTCTCACAAAAACTATTTGTCGTTGTTACAAGAAAAAAATCGTTACCAATAGTCAGTTTTGCAGCATTTGACTAATATATAATTATAATTAATTATTCGTTACAAATACCTATTTTGACAAATATCATCGTTACCAATACTCATAATTGACCCAAAAAAAAAACATTTTATTACCATAATAATGGTAATTAAATTTCTAAAAATGACAATAAAATCCTCAATAATACATTTTTAATGATCATATTTTAATATAACTAATTGATTAAGAATATCAATGTGTAATGAATATATATCAGAAAAGCATAAACTTAAAAATAAAGGCATCTCATGAGCAAAAAATTAGGAAAACTTTAGTATCATAATCAAAACTAATGAGAATGTTGCAATTAACTTCAAAATTATGTACCTCCATATACATGCTTCAAAAGAAATATACACAATGTTCCATAAACAGCCACACTTGATTACTCAAAAGAATAGTTAATTCCTACAACTTCATGTTGCACCGTCCACCATTGTATTCACTCCAAAAATCTGCATACATGCGTACAATTTGAATTTAATTACATTTAGAACGTAACACAACTAAGAAACAAGAATAATATTAATGATATACACAGCAAAAACATGTATGAAAATTAAGAACTATTATAATGAAAATTGGTATAATAGTATATTAGAACCAGGGCAATAAGGTTGATGGGGTTTCTAGCAACACGTGATCACAAAAGGACCATGTTCTACGCTAAATTTTAGAACTTCCAAATTAAAATCCACATAACAGACAATTATTATCGAAATTCAATTTTTATCCAAATTGTTAGTAGCACCCCTTATGGCAAAGTGTTTATAATTTTTGTAACAAGGGGTGTATGACAAATTAGAAACACATAGTTGTTAAAAAAATCTAGGTTCTTTAGGTCCACTTAAAGTAGTAAGTTGCACATTTATGAGCCTAAAAGAACTTGAAGTAACAAACTGAGAGCAAGTCTCATTAGCCATACTCCAATAACCAAAATAGGCAATTAACTATGTGTGTCAATCTTTTATAGTGGATATGCGAGATGATTTAAGAATTCTAATATGCATCGGCATATCATGTGTAATGTCGTGCTAATATAAGAGTGCGAATTTTTGTTACCAGTATAGTCAGCACTTGAACATTATATACTAGTTACAAGATTTTGTATACAATGCACAATTGAACTTAATATGTGTAGTACTAAGAAATTCTTAAACTAGTGCTATAGGTTTGTCAAACATTGCAACCAAACATACAGTGTGCAAATAACATGATGACAATCTAAACAATTATAGAAATGTTTCACCATAGAAATAATTTTTCTCCTCACCCCAACACAAAATATGAAACATAGTTTTAGAGCATATTAAACATTAGGTCTTTGTACATAATTTGCATTCAATTAGAAATAGATCAAATAAGGTGAAATCTTAAGATTATTATTAGTTGAAAACTTTAAAAGAGAAAAAAATAACATGTAAAGCATATTCATAGGACAAAATTGTTACACAACAACAAGCAAGAGAAAAAGTTAATTGAAATAAAAAGACTTATTCTAAAAGCTTCAAAATTAGAAAAATAATCACCACATTTAATAAGTTCTTTAGCAAGTGAATATGATAAGAAGTGATCAATGAAACATATTCAACAAATAACCACCACAATTAATCTTTATACCAATTAACCATCTAAATATATTAAATGCTAGAGAAAAACTAATTAGACAATCAAATTAAAAAACAAAATTGTACATTTAATTTAGAGCTTCTTCATACATCACTGAGGAGGGTGAGAGAAAAAACCTAATAGCTATACCTTAAATTTTCGCTTTGCCCAGTCGTTGGTGCCGCTTCCAATCGCCGTTTTAGCTTTGCCCAATCATTGGTGTTGCTTCCCCCAATTGTCGTTGTGGCTTTGCCCAATCGTTGGTGCTGCTTCCCCCAATCGTCGTGGCGACTTTGCCCAATCCCTGTTGCCGCTGCGACTTTGCCCCAATCCTTGTTGCCGCTGCTATTTCGCCAAATCGTGTTTCTGCTGGAGCCGATGCCGGAGATGATGATGTTACGAATTTTGAAAGTATGCGGTGGTGGAAATAGAAGAGGATAAAGGTGTGTGTCGGGGGTGAAAAATTAGAACCCTAGAGCCATTCTGTTCTTTTAGTTATCCCCTTTGTTTTCTCCACACCCGCTGGGGTAATATTATCACTAGATATACAATAGAAATGGAAGGTAAATAATATTTTATAACTTTTTGTAACACATATAAAATTTGTTACAAAAGAATAATACTTCTCGTGACAATTTTATGCTATTGTAACGAATTCACAGTTTGTAACTAGACAAAATATATTTTCGTGACAATTATTCACTTTTTGTAACTAAGGTTTCCGTTTGTTACGAAAAAGTGACTTTTGGGTGACGAATTAGTTGTTTTAGTAACAATGGTTTCTAATCGTTACCAAAACATGATCATTTAGTAACAATGTTTACATTTTGTTACAATAAACTAGTTTTTGTGACAAATAATTCGTTTGTTACTATAGTTTTGTTACTTAAAATTACTTTTCTTGTAGTGGGGATTGTTGTAATTACCCAAACAGGAGGGGGTTTTTCGTAATTTTATCAATCATACCTCAGGGGGTGGTTGTAATTTACCCTAGATTATATTTAGAGACGTGGTATTTTCACCCTCAAAATATCTTATTTCACCATCAAATTAAAATATATTTTATATTTTACCCATTATTCTTCTTTCACCTATATTTTGTACAAATTCGTAAACCGTCCACCACTAAACTAATTAAAATATTTATAAAAACAATCCACATATTTTTACTGGAATCTTTAACACAAAATCCTACCATTAGGTTTTCCATCAAACTTAACCGCGTTTGTCAAACGTCAAAGTAATTTTTTTGGCAGATGACCCTCTTGTGCTTTCATTTTTGCAGATGACCACTTGAAGTTTGACGGAAAACTAACAAGAGCTACCCCATAAACCACAAGGGGGTTATGTGCTAATATTACAAGCACTGCAAAAGGTTGTAACGACAGTAGTGTTAAGTGCTATTTATCATACTGTGTGGAGCAAACTTGACCGAGCTATGGTGAATCCGATTTGGCTGCAAACATATGGAAGTAGCTCAGCTACTTTCTTACCGTTCGGGAAGCACTCGGACCACTCGCCGATCTTAGTAAAGATGGAGGTGGATGGGGAGCCGGTCTCTCGCCCGTTCCGATTCTTCAATATGTGGACGATGCATGGGGATTTTAAAATAATTGTTCAAGACGTATGGACAGCGGATCGTCAAGGAAGCCGACAATGGGCGGTGATAAAAAATCTTAAGGCATTGAAATCCCCTCTCAAGAGCCTTAATCGGAAGGAATTTGGTCACATTTTGGAACGAGCTAAACGGGCGTCTCTTGATCTTGAGGAGAGCTAACAGCAGATGCATGATGACCAGCATAATGCAGCCCTGCAACTAGAAGTACTTAGTCGATCGGAGAAGGCAAAATTTCTCACAAAGGCGGAACGAAGCTTCTACTACCAAAAGGCGAAGTTACATTATTTGAAGAGCAGCGATCGGCCGACGAAATTCTTTCATGGCATGGCTAAACGTAATGCTCAACGAAAACACGTGGCATCTATTCGTCGTGCGGACGGGACGATGACCACCTCACGTAAGGAAGTCCATGCAGAATTTTTGAAGTTCTACATGGAATTCTTAGGAACACGTCAGCTTTACGAAGCTATTGACTTGGAGGTTCTACATTCCGGGCCAAGGATTCAGGAGGATGATGGCGCTACTCTTATGGGACCAATCCTTAACTCGGAAATAAATGATGCGTTGTTTGATATCTCGGACGACAAGGCTCCGGGACCGGACGATTTTTCCGCCCACTTTTTCAAACACTCATGGGACACGGTTAGGCCACTCTTGACGGAAGCAGTGCATTAATTTTTTCGGAGTGGCTCTTTGCTGAAGCAATAGGATAACACGATACTTGTCTTTATTCCGAAGAAAGTACAAGCTCAAGAAGTGGGGGATTTTCGACCAATAGCTTGCTGCAATGTGATCTATAAGGTCATTGCAAAAGTCCTCACGACCCGTTTAGGCAGCGTTCTACCAAAGATTATTGATAAAGCACAATCAGCGTTCGTGGGGGGGGGGGGGGGGGAGATCGATCACGGACAATATGCACTTGGTGGAACATCTTATTCGGCATTACGAGAGGAAGCGTATTTCGTAGGTGCTTGTGAAGATGGACTTACGCAAAGCATATGACTCGGTTAACTGGGAATTTCTCCAAGCTATGTTGGAGGGCTTGGGTTTCCCAGTTAAATTTACGGGATGGATTATGCAATGCGTAACTTCTGTATCTTATTCGATCTCAGTTAACGGTGAAACGAAGGGGTTTTTTCCAGCCATGCGTGGATTGAGGCAAGGAGATCCTTTATCGCCCTACTTGTTCATTATATGCATGGAGTATCTCTCCCGGCTACTCCATGCACGTCCGATTGAACAAGAACTCAACTACCATCGCATGTGCCATCTCCACAAGATAACACATCTGATCTTTGCGAATGATCTAATGGTATTTTCTCGAGGAGATGTGGAATCGGTCCGTATCCTCGCCAAGACGGTCTACGAATTTGGGCAGGTTTCGGGGCTTAAGGCAAATCATGCGAAGTCTAATATCATATTAGCGGGAGTTAAACCGGGGGACCGATTAGAGATCGAAAACGAATTTCGCTTTGCCAATGGAGAGTTTCCGTTTCGATACCTTGGGATTCCACTCGCTGCATCTAAATTACGAGTGCTCAACCATCAACCACTGCTCGACAAAATCGAGCAAGCCATAGGAGCGTGGACTCGGCAAACTCTCTCTTATGCCGGACGGTTGGAGATTTTGAAAACCGTGGTTCAAGCTACGTGGCTACTGGTTATCCATATTTTCGATCTCACATGCAGTTATCGATCGTATATAGACAATATGCAAAATGTTTTTATGCGGTGCGGCGGCCCCAAAAGCAACTTGGCCGAAGTTGTGCAAACTAAAGAAAGAAGGGGGTTTGGGCCTTCGTGATTTGACTGATTGGAATCGAAGCTTTCTTGTGAAAAATTTGTGGGATTTTCACTTGAAGAAAGACTCTATGTTGATACAGTGGGTGAAAGAGTCTATCTCAAGGGACGAACCATATGGGAGTGGTCACCGCCACTTACAGCTTCACCCTTCTTCAAGAGCATCATCCGGATCCGGGACGAACTGGTGGAGAGCGCGAGGACTACTCAGTTACTTATTGCTAAGCTGGAATCTTGTACGGAGCTTGGAAAATTAAATGTGAGCAAAGTATACGACTGGATTAGGGCTAAGGCCCCGATCAAACCGTGGGGTAAACTTCTTTGGGCGCCATCTATGACTCCAAAGCACTCGTTTATCTTATGGATGGCAACCATGGATCGATTGGCCACAATGGAACGAGTGGAGAAACGCTCACGTGAAGTCGTCAACTCCAAATGCGTCTTATGTGGTGTGGAGGACGAGACTAAGAAGCACTTTTTTTTCGCATGCAGCATGTCTCGAGAGGTGTGGACCAACATATGGATATGGTTGGGTATCCGCCGAAGACCAACCAGATTGCATGCCACACTTAAATGGCTCAAGAAGGACGTACGAGGGAAGTCGTACCGCAGCAAGACACAGCGATGTGCACTAGCAAGTCTCGTGTACCACATTTGGGAGGCTCGGAACAAGTGGAAATTTGAGAAAATTGGAACTACTCCGAAGGACCTCACAAGGAAGATTCAGCTACATCTTTACTCGGCTATGTTCAGCCAGCACCCGAAGCTAGAGATTTCAAGGACGAACGGACAACCGGGCAGCCTTATGCACCCATGAGGGCGTGATCTAGATGCTAGGCTTTCGTGGGTTTTTTCCCACTTTTATTTCTGTTTTTTTGTTAGTTTATTTCTTTTTGCTTTCTGCATTAGGTTCCGCAATTTCCTCGGGTATACCCGTTGTAATTGTCTACGACTTTTATTTATTTATAATATTTACATTTTAATAAAAAAAAAGTGCTATTTATCCAACATTTTAAGGCAAAATGAGTTTTCTAGTCCCGTAAGTTTGCTAGTTGGGAGTTTTAGTCACCACATTTTAGATTCATAATTTCTGTCCTCTAAGTTACAAAAGTTGAGTATCTTTGTCCTCTGACTTGCAATAATAGGTAATGCAATGGTTGGTCGAATGAGTTGCCATTTAATTTATAAAAATAAATTAGAAGATGTGGTTAATGAATTGAATGGTTTTCGAGAGAAATTTGATCCTCAATGTTGAAAACACCAAAATAATGGGGGAAAATTAACATATTTATTTATACATTTACTTTTTGTTATAGTTTTACAATAAAAAACCTCAAAAAACCTAGTGTTTTCATTGAATAGAATATGCCATCATATTTTTTATAAAAAAAATAAGCTATTTCTTTATAAAGAAAATAAGCTATTTTTTTTTATGAAGAAAATAAGCACTTATTTAGTAATTAGTGTTTAACTAATATTTCATAGCATTTAATTTATAAAAATAGTAATTAAATTCATATTTATCTAAATATTTGATTTTATAAATCTATACTTAGTGATCACAATGAAAATGAACAAAAAATCAAATTCAACCAAAATACGAAAAAGAAAACTTTCTATTGAAATTTGTTGTAAAGCTAAATGACATGCACAATCATAATTAGTATAAAAAATCAAACACATATTTACGAATTAACCGAAAAAAATAATAAAGTATATTCAAAGCTCTATTAAATTAAATATACCAAAAAACATTCTAGAGCATCCAAACATAAAATAAATTATCAAACCAAGAGTAACAACTATCCATAAAGAGTAATAAAATGCAGTTAATTACTATTATTATCAATAAAAGAAGGGATTTTTATGCAAAAGTCCCCAACCAAGCATGTTTATTATTTTAGGTTTAGGGGACATATCTCTTTCACCAATAAGCACATCTCTTTAATATTTATTATAACTAAAGGAAACATTCATGTATATCCCAATATTACCCTCAACCATTTATACCCAATTCTTAATTGTAACCCCAATTTATCAATTTTGTCCACAAAAATCCAATTTTGACCACAAAAATTCAATTTTGACTTTTTTTTGGAGTATAATTTAATATGCTCCAATTTCATCTTTAACTTAATTTAATCTCAATTTGACCCCAAATTTCACAAATTATTAAATTTTGACCCAAAACTTTTTTTTTTCAAAAAAAAAAAAATTCAAAATTTTTTTTTTGCCGTCGGATTCCGGCGTTGACTTTTCATTTTTTATTTTTTTTTCTTTCTTCCGGATTTTTTCGCCGATTTCCAGCGTTGACTTTTTGTTTTTTTTTTTTGCTTTTTTCTTTTTTTTTTTCTTTTCTTTTCTTCCGGATTTTTTCGCCGGTTTCCGGCGGTCTCCGGCGTTGACTTTTTTTAGTGTTTTTTTAAGTTTTTTTTTTTTTGTTTGGTTTGTTTTGTTTTTCCACGTCCGCCGCTAAACGTTGACCGTAATTGTGTGACAGTAAATTAACGTAATTATACTGTCAATGATAGTTAATTAACGTAATTGTACTGCCGTTGACATTACATTTATGTAATTGTGCTGCCGTTGACAGTAAATTAATGCAATATTATTATTTTTTATTTATTATTATTATTTTTTTTTTGTTTGATTTGTTGACAAGTCAACGTAATTATATTACTGTCGTTGACAGTAAAATAACTGTAAACACAATAATATTACTGTCAACACCATCAATATTATTATTTTTTTGGGGTTTTTGTTTTGTTTGAGTTATTCACGGAGTAACGTATTAATATTACTGTATATTATTGTAATATTACTGTAAACACAATAATATTACTGTGGTTGACGGTAATATTACTGTTCACTACAACAAAACCGTCTTTTAATAGCACATGACTATAGCGTTTTTATTTCAAATGCTATAACTGTTTTTAATATCTTTAATAATTGATAATAGTTAAAGGAAAAACGCTATAATACATATTTTAACGGGACTTTGAGTATAATTTGGCTCCCCGACTTCGTCAAAATAAAAGGAACACCCTTCTGGAAAGAATAAAAACCCTCGCCACGCGTGTTCAAGCAGACCAAGAACAGATTTGAGAAAATCCTTCATCAATCGGTGCTGTTGCAGAAATATCCTGGTGAAAAATAGTTATGGGTTTCCGCGTCAAGAAGAGCCCTTTACTTTCAGACCGACCCAATTTTGGGAACTAAATCCTTTATCATTGTGTTCGTCAATTCCAAGCTGACCCGCTTTCGATTCTAATTGACGTTTATTCCAACAATAGCTCGCCGTTGTTTTAACAGGTAATCTCTCTTAACGTGTTTGTATGGTTTTCGTGATGTTAGTTCTTTGCAAAAAGCCCTAATTTGTAGAATTAATTCTATTTATGTATCATTTGCAAATCGTTGAGATTTTAGACAGTTATGATGTGCAAATTTTAAGAATTTAACTGAATGGAATGTGAAGGAATTATCTCATGTAGATGTTTTTTGTAATCATCTGATATATTTGGATAAATATGATTTTTAGATAAATTGAATGGTATCTATTAACTGGTCAAGAAAACTGTTATTCTGAATTTTCATGGTTGAAAGTTGTTTCGGTATCGGTCCTTCATTTAATTGAGTTTGAGGTTTAGGAATTAATGAAACATAAAAGAGTAGGGACCTATATGTTATCCATTTAAAGAGTATGTCTAGCTCTGGTTAAAAATATGTCTACTAGATTGTTTAATTTTGTGCTTTAACGTGGTTAATATGAGATTAATTGAACTTTTACTGGCTAAATATGAAGCATTGAGATTGAGTTTGATATTGGATATTCTATGAAATTCCCCTTTTTATGTTATATGCGTAGTCAAATGAATATCCCATGAAATTCCCCTTGTACTTTCAATTCCTTTTTGCATCAAGAAAGTGCTAGATTAGATTTATTTGTCCATGAAAGAAATATTCTTTTTAATTTGACTCTAAACTGAGGCACTTCTAATATTCTCATTTGAATTTTTTTTAATGTTTGCATCCAAATTATATCTTCTTTATTTATTTGGAGACTAAGAAACACAATTTTTCAAACTGTGAATTTTTTTCTCCTGAGAAACATGTAAAATAAAGTACTCTTTGAAAATCTAGGTACTTATAGATCCATCATACAATAAGAATGACTTTAATTTCCCTAATAATTGAACTCAATATCTCATCTTGTCTATGTTTTAAATCTTATATGGCCATATATGGACAAGGGCGATGAACATGAATAAGGGTATGATCATAGATGGAAAATAGGATAAAAGAATTTTAGGACTTGGTTAACACATTGCCAAATGATGATGTAAGTTATGTCATTTCTTTGTCCTAAATTTTCAATATCGTTTTTTTCATTAACTGTAACCATATATATCTCTTGTGTTAGATTCATCAAGGTAAAGAAGTGGACAATAGAGATATTTTTTGAAGTTTCTAAAATAGTAATCACTTCAAGGCAACCTGTCGAATTACTTAAATTATACATGGTTATCTGGATACGATTGGCAACCTGTTGAATGATATTATAAGCACATCTTAACTAGAAATAGGTACATTTCTATTCCTCCCATTTTATTTTCTCACATTTCCATGTCTTAGGTGTTTCTATGTCTTAGGCAAATAGAAAGTCTGTGATGTCTATACCAGTCCTCGTTATTATCCAAACTCTCGAACCGAAGTTACAACACTAACAAATAACATTCATTTCTTCTCTGTTCAATTTTTTTCTCGATAGCTTTATGTGCTTCTTGATATCATTTCTATAGAAATACATATTTAATTTGATAACATTATTAATGAGAATTTTGGATTTCAATGCTAGAGATTTCACAATTATATTTTAAGAAACTAGTTTATTTAATTTTTACAGATTTGCTTGTTCGGATGGAATGATGGTTATTGAAAATAATACAACAAATATGTGTAAATTTTATAAGTTGCTAAGATAATATAATTCGATGTTGTAGTGACGATAGGACATAATGGTACAAATGCGCATACATTAGGCTGGATTAAGTGCATATTTGTTAGTTTCATTTTGTATTTCGTTTAGGGGTTAACAGATTGGCTATTTCAGTTGGGTTAGTTCTGTGTTTTATCTTTTTGTTGCAATTCTTTTCAAATACTATGTACTAATTTCTATTTTTATTTTCTTATCAGGAAAATGAGAATATTGGAGAGTGGATACACAATGAAAAAGCTTGTTTTGAAATGCTTGAGTGTGTAATTAAAGATGGTGCTTTTTTTCTTTTCTTTTTTATTTTTTTATTTTTATTTTTTCATCTATGATTATCTTTAGGATATTTGTGACATGAGTACTAATTTATGTGAATAAAATATTCGTAATATTTTTTAATGTTCTTTATTAATGAGTTGTTATTTTTATGATATTATTTTTCACTATGATTTGTGTAAGCATATCATTCTATGATTATTGCTATAATTTTGTTGAATTGTGTCATGGGAAGAAATATTAGGTACTAAAAAGTAAATCATACAGCCTTCAGAAAGAAATTAAAGGTTTTCTATAGCATGTTTCAAATGCTATGTAGCAATTTAAGATTTTCTATAGCGGCTTTTAAATATTGTGAATATGTAACAATAACGTATTAATTATGTAAAAAAAACAAGTACAATAGCAGTATAAAAAAGCTATGTAAAGTTATAACAACGTTTCATTGATGCTATGAAATGTCTTACAATAGCATTTAAACCACGCTATGGTAGGTCTACAAATTATAGCGTTTGAAAAACGCTATGATAGATCTCGGACCTATTATA